ACCTGTCTTTCCAACATTGTATATCAACTGTGAAGACTGCTGTCTCATGCACCATGCTTCAGTTAGCTGTTCATACCTGTTGCTGTGTAGGTGCAGGTGTCTGACTCCTTCTTACTTTCCCTAAAGGAGTGGTACTACTAACTCAGTGATTGCCCCTTCCCCAGTCAACTTCACTGGCAATCTAAACTCCATCAATTGCTAGGGCCATCTTTCTAAAATGTGGCTCTGATGCCACTCTAAAACTTCTATAGTCTCCCTAATCACCTTTTATGAAGTGATCCTCAGTATTTTCTCAAATTCCTCAAAAATATGGCTGACACATCGTGCTTTTCTTCTCCTGGTGATTTTGTGCATGCATTGCTTTATCTGGTATAACGTTCAACCCTGCCCCTTCCTGAACATCTACCTCAAATGTCCCTCCTCCAAAGAGCCTTTCATGATTTTGCCAACAAGAGATTATCACTTCTTTCTTTGATTTCTCCATGGTATTTATCTGTACCTCGTTGATTACATCAATCTTATGCAGCAGTGTATTACACTGAATTATATGTCTAGTGTTTTCGTTCTTGTTTGTTTTGTTTTTTATGGTTTTGTTTATACTTTAAAGGCAAAGATTTCTGTTATCAATGGATCTCATCCTCTTATGGAGGGAACTCAACATTTTTAAAATCAATTTATTCAATTGACATGAATTCAAGGAATATCTTACAAATTTTACTCCATGTGTGAGTCTTGCACTTTCATCCTTCGGGGGATAATTCTTATTCTAAGAAACTAGTGTGGTTTGTGGTTTAGAGTCATGGTTTAAGCTGCCCTTAGAAGAATGAAAAACAGCTGGTGTCCAAGGAGCTCTGGAAATTTGTCAATAAACTAATTGTGGAACAGAAGCCAAGAGTAAAGAAGTTTGACTTGCATATCTTAAGCTCTATCTATTTTATTATTATTTTTTAAAAGATACTGTGTTTAGAAAATTAAATATTTCAAATATGTATTTTTTACTAAAACCATGGACAAAATATCCAAAGAAAATATTATACAACTATAACATAAATGTCAACACTCTGTGTTCAAATTGCCTCTACTTTATTTAGTCAAGGGTACACTGCCATAGCCAAGTACTTAAAAGGAGATAAAATCACTTAATTTTGAGGGACTCTTTTAGAATTTAGGAAAAACTTTTTGTTTCAAACTTTAGCTGCATGTGGTAAAATATCATTATACATGATAATAAAATTTCCATTAAAATATATATCAAAATTGATGCTGCTTATAAACATATAACAGTTCATAGGGACTTCAACTAAATCATCAAATAAAGGTTGATCACTGCCTATACTCAAGAACTGGCTCAAAAAAATAGAGATACAAAGGTGAATAAACATAGATTTAGCACCTAGAAAGCTTGCAAGAACTATACAAATAAGTATAGAACGAGTTTGGCAATCATGAGAGCAGAATAACAGACATGAAGGGTTCTTTACAGCTGTTAAATGAAGGAGAAATTGATGGGGTGCCTGCGTGACTCAGTTGGTTAAGCGACAGACTCTTGATTTTGGATCAGGTCATGATCTCAGGGTTGTGAGATTGAGCCTTGAGTAGGGCTCCCTGCTGGGGGCGTGGAGCCTGCCTAGGATTCTCTCTCTCCCTCTGCCCCTACCCCCCCAAAAAAGAAGGAGAAATTGAATATGGTTGTGAGGGTAAAAAAATATCAACAAAGGACATAGCATTCTGATATAAAACTTGAAGGTCAGGGTTGTAAGTCATGGAATAAGCTAAGGAAGAGACAGATGGAAAGAGACAGCCTGGGAAGAAGGTTTAGAGAGAAAAATTGTGGGTGAAAGAGATCCAAATCAGGCCAGCATGGTTAACAAAAGCCCTGAGCTGAAGACCGTCTTTGATGAGGCTCCTGTGGCTGCTTTCACACACTGATAAGGATTTGAACACGCGGCTAGCGGTCCTAGTGAGCTAAGGGTCCTAAGTGTTTGAGGTACATAGTAAGAGTTAGGAATGGAGCTCACTTTCAGACTGCTCACAATCCAAATCAATGCTGAACAAGTTAAAATAAAGGTAAATGCTGAATTGAGATCTATATTTTTCACCTGGCTTAGAGCTTAGTCATTTACAGTTTGTGCTCCAACCTCCAAGTGGCCTATTATGTTGTACTTCCTTCAGTGTTTCATGAGGGATCCATATGAATTATTTCAATGACTCCATTTACTCAAACAGTCCTTCTACCTTACGATTTCATAAAATTGAGCACATTTTTCTAACTAAACTAATCAGTTTTGTCCTTCTTCAGGGCCTTTTCCGTTGCTCTTCCCTCCACCTGGGAAGCTCTTCCCTCATCTATCAGTGTGGTGGACTCCCTCACCTCTCTCCAGGACACTCTTAGTGAGGCCTTCCCTGGCCACCCTATTAAATTTCACAATCTCACCACAACCTGCTTTATTTTTCTCCACAACCTTATTATCTTCTAATGTACTATGTACTTTATTTATTTATCTTGTTTATTGTCTGGTTTCCCACCCAGGGGGTCAAGGACTGTCTATTTTATTCATGAATGTAACCCCAGTGTTTAGAATAGTGCCTGACATATAATAAATGCTCAATAAACATTAAATGAATAAATACATGTGCAAATGAATTACATGCAGTATTTACATGACAATTTGAGACAGTCATATTTAATTTTATAGAACTTGCTGTTCCAATTACTGCTTCTCATTAACTTTACTGAGTGAAGGAGGATTTATAAATCATCTACTGACATAACCAGCACTGTATTTGGTTCTTACAAGATAAATCATATCATAGCTCCTATATTTGAGAAATAATAATAGAATAGAATATGAATACTACAGGATTTCAGCTGGCATTTTAAAGGAGGAAACAAAGATAGCCTGACACCTCCAGGGGTTTCCCCCAACAGAGCATTTAATAAACCTTGCCAATGGAAAGATGTTTCCCAACACAAGCAATGACTTTGAAATTTCATAGACCTAAATTCTAACTCCATTAATACCATTCACTGTCCATACCGCCTTGGCCTAGTCATCAACTTTTCTAGGTCTAAGTGATTTCATTTGTAAAATGAAGATCATAGTTTTAACCTCATAGGGAGAATGTGAGCTATCAAATGAGATCATCTATGGAAACAATTAGCCAAGTCATTGGCACATGGAAAAACTTAAATAAATGCATGTGGAATGAATGAGTTCTTGATCAGTGGGGGAAAATATAACCAGAAAAATGTGGCTTTTTCAACCATTTATACTGTGTTGTACCCCACCTTTACTCATGATGATCCCTCTGCCTTCAATATCATTAAAATAGTGAATTGTACATATATTGGTTGGTTATTATCTATATTATTATTCCCATTTTAAAGATAAGGAAATTGAGTCTCACATACATTAAGTAACTTGCACAAAGTCACGAAGTAAGCAGCAGTGCTAGGGTTTGATCTCAGAGGACCTCGCCTCTAAAACACTTCAGCTATCTTGGCTCTACTTTTGATTGCATAGTGATGTGATTGGCACCAGGAAGTATTTCCTAAACCCACAGTCTATATATTACACTTTCCTCATCTCACATAGAATCTTATGAATATTTCTCTCCAAATTTATGGTAACTAAAAAAATTTATTTATTCTTTTTTCTATATCAATATATCACCTTCTAGAAAGTGCTAATGTTTATTGAAGGTCTATTGTGCTAGGCTCTGGTCTAGTTGCTCAACCCCTCAACTCATACTTTCCTGATTACAACCCTATGTGGCAGGTACTACATTTATCCTCATATACGTGGTGATAAAAATGAAATAAAACATTCACATAGGTTATATTTCAGGACTGAGGTTTGAATCCAAGCATTTAGATTCCAAAGCCCATATTCTTAATCATGAGAGTATAGTGCTATTCCTACACCAAGACTGATTATATCTCCTTTTCCTCTTTCTTTATTGAAAACTCCTTAGGAAAGTGCATTTTCATAGAGTCTAAGTTGTACTTCTATGATCTATGACTCTCATATTTGGCAAGTCTTTATTTTTCCTTTAACTCTGACATCTGCAATTAGTCAAACTTACAAAGCTTATTTAAATAAAAGAGATGAATTTAGAATCTGATAGAAACACCAGATTTTAGGTCAGCATTTATAAAAAGTTGTTAGTGGTACCACCTCCCCACCCCAACTTAGAAAAACCAGGCTGGTGATCTTCATTGCCTTAAACAGACTCCAAGCTGCGCTCTTAGAAGGTACTGGACCCTTGCATAAATACACAACAAAAAATAAAGTAACTTTAAAAAACACAGCTATCCTTTCAATACCAACTCAAGGGTTTTGTTTTAGTTTTTACTTCCTTAGTAGAGTGATTTAAACATAGAGTGCCTATTTTTAAAAGAGCAAAGAATGTGTTCATGGCAAGTTGGAACAGTGTGCAAGTGTGCCGGCTTCACTCTTATCTGAACGACAAAGCATTAAATCACAAAGAGGAAAAAGTCAGTGTGTTCTCTGAGAACACAAATAGATTAGCATCAGGAAGAGCTTTGTCCAAGAAAGGGAAGAGACACCTACCCAGAGAATAAATCATGTACACAAAACCTATAATTTAAAAAAATTATTTTCAAGAAATGTTTTAGCTGATAAATATGACCATTAGATAAACAAAACAGAAAAAGTTTCATGTGAATATTTTTTTTTTAAAGTGTACCTTTCAAATGTGGTCAGTCAACATACCCCATTCTTTATCTCTGTTTCTTATATAAGACCTGATCCATCAGTGGTTATGGAACTCACAAAAGAAAATGAGGAAAACCTTCCCCCTTTAATTCTATGATGGAACAAACTTTAAGCCTACTAGGCATAAAAGAACCTTTCCTAAGTTAAAATGTATAGCAGAGCTCCATATCCCTTAACATATAAACACTCTTTAGGTTCTTCGACGAACAATTTAAATCCAGCGTCCTCACTCAGAACTCAAGGAAAACAAATTCTTCTTACCATATATTCCATGTTTGCTGCTGGTGGGAACACCTTGCCCCGAACTTGATTATGATAATCAAGAATGGCGATCATGTCATTCTGCGAAATGTAGCGCTTCCGCCTGGCTTTGGGGATATCCGCAGAATCTAGTTGTGCTTTTAGTGCTGCTTCAATATCAGTGAAATTATTGGTTGGCGAGGATGAGTCAGTGGAATTGAGTAAGACGACGGCACTTGCTTCACAGAGAAGGGAGAACAGGAGAGCGCTGCTGACTGCAGAGATTGCTATCATTTTGAGGGGTGGAGAAGGAGAGGCCACCGAGTTTACTTTGCTTTAAAGCAGAAAGGTAGAGTTAGGGTCTATGAGAAAAGAAGAAAAAAAGGGCCAGTGGGTATGAATTTACAAAGTCATCATTTGGGAGCATCGCTTGATTTGCTCTGAAAAATTCAAACAAATGTTGAACTCATGCCTAGGAAACAATCTATAGTAGTTGTTAAACATTTCACTTGGTGTCATGAGGCAGATTCCTAAAAGAAACTTCCTATAGCTAAAGAAAATTAAATAACATGACTACTAACCCTAAAATGAATGTGAACCATTTGCCCCAAATGCCTGCACCACATAATGCATTACTGCATATTTTCAGAAGGGAAATCTTTAGGAATTGAAATTAATCTTGAGAGTGAGAAGGAAAAATGCATCACAGGTAACAACAGAGAATGTGCTGATATTGTGTCCCAGACATATATGGACACCAAGGGATAAAATACAAACAAACAAAAAAAAAAGTTATAATAAGTCAATCTCATTTCTAAAAAAAAAATAAAATAAAAATGTGAGCTAGTATAAAATCAATGCATGCAAAATAAACTTGTTGAGCTAAAGAGCTTACCTCTGCAGAATGCCAAAATGAATATACTGTTCTTCCACAAATTTAAAGTTCTTTGCTAGGTTGTAGCATGAACTCTTATAAGAGTGTGTCTTTTTACAAACTCTCAGCAAAACTCTGCAAGGTTTGAATGCTGCTGGCTGCAGGAGCAGCTAACAGCTTTTATATGTCACAGTCTGCAACTTCCAGAAAGGGCAGTCTTTCTTAGGGTCTTTCCTAGCCAAAATCAAAGGGGAGGGGTTTTGGATAGAAAAAAACAGTGATTGGGTGGCAACCTTTTTATGTGGGTGGTGAGGAAATTGAGTCACACCCACAGCTTACAAAGTACAAACCATAAAAGACAAACCCCTTTTCTCTGGGCTTCCACCTTTTCTGTGAGTGGTTAATTTTCCTCATTTAATGCTTTCTAGTTCCTGGTTCCCATACAAAAAAGAGGAAAAAAAAAAAAAAAGACTGAGTTCTTGAAAACACAGATGGCTGAGTAACAAGCAGTACATTTTTTTTTTAGGACAGTAAATGATATGGGAGCTGAAAAGAACAAGCTGATATTAAATCAAGAGATCAGCTCACATCATTAATCTGGGTGGCCACAAATATGATTCAAGAGGGATGCCAGGCAAATCAGTAGAAGCCAAACTATAGCATATGATATGAGGATAATAGATGTTCAAGTGGTTGTACTCTCTGTCTCCATGTGGCTTTATTCTTCTAGTTTATGTATTTATTCTCTCCCTTTGTCTTGTTTCACCCTCTCTCCATTTTTTTTTCTTTGTCCACAGAGTGAGGCAGCAAATTACCTGCCTTTTACCTGCCTTGTATACAATGCAAATGGAGAAGCTCATGACAAATGACAGGAGCCGAGAAACATCTGTTTCAGGTTTAAAAGCATATAGTTGAAATCTCAGCAGAGAGAGGCTCAGCCTCTCAGGAAGCATATTGGAGGGCATAGCACAGAGGCCATGAAGAATTTAACAGCAGCAGCTAGCTGCCAACAGTTAGAAGTGCCTTCTCAGAAAGATGGCATTGAAGCAAAATCTGTGTCCAGCAAGAACAAGAGCCAAGAATGTGAATGCTAGGGCAATCTACAATGAAAGGACCCTCAGAAATGTCGTGTGTCATGATATCACTAGTAAAATGTGGACCATTCACAGTCAGTGGCAACAGGAATCCTGGAGAATACACACTATTCAGTTTAGGAACTTACTTAACATGCACTGACTTGTCCAGTTTACCAATGTGATTGTCTCCTGCGTATTTCAGCAGAAAGAGTACTATGTGAATTTACAGTCATCAGAAATGACGGTCATGTGGTTAGAAACACACCAGACTCGGAGCCAAGTTTCCTGGGCTGTATTCCCAGTTGGGTCTTCAGCACTCTGTGTGGCCTGATGCATACTGTTTAACTCTTCATGGTGCAGCCGAAACTGGGAGGCAAAAGGTACATATCCTATGGTGAGAGCGACATCATCCAATTCCTTAAGAGAGCAGTAAGGCATTTGAAACCAGAGGTTTCTTTGAATTTCAAAGTATAGTGATGGTTGCAGTCTTAGATGTTAACATGTGTCAAGTGCCACTGTATTTTAATGAGCTCCTAACTAAAGTGAAGTCATTTTAGGAGAGCTTACCATACAATAGTGAAAGCTGTAAATAAGAATTAATTAACACTGTAGAACTGGAAAGGCGAGAACATAAAAGCACAGGAGGTGAGCAGGAAGAGTATAAAACATTAGAGCAGATTGAGAGAATGCAGGTGGCTGTTCACAGTTACAGATCCTTAACAACTGGAGCTGTCCAGCTCACCCTTCAGAAGGTACTCATGGCACCTTGAATGAATCTCAAGGACACAGTGATAAGGATTCCTTAATTGAATAGGAAGTTAGGCAACATACTCCCTGTGGTCATCCAGTTCAAAGATCCCAGGACCTTTGAGAGTTTAGTGCTAGCACTGATTAGCCTATATCTTTCAATATATCTCATATGGCTGTCCAGCAAAAATGAGACTTAAGGACTTTTATTACCTAAACAGCAGAGATGAGCCTTTCTTTCTCCAGGGTGGCTAAGCTCTTGCTTAGAGACTCATAAAAATCAACCATTGCTTTCAAGGTTACCTCTTTGTCATGTACACTAAGAGATAGTGTCCATCTCTTGAGGTTCGAATTAAGGGACTCCCATGGGGATAAAAATGCATTACTTGAGAAATACATCTGAACGATAAATGAGTTTCTTCTAAGAGGAAATAGAGGGATAGAGGAGGAGAAAGAGAAAGAAGGAATTTCTGAGTTGGACCTAAATGGGAGATTACCTCTTGGAGTCCAATTACATGAGGACAGAGCTGATAGTTGCTTAATCCTGAGACCCTGAGGCATGTCAATGATTTCAGATGTCTTTCAACACACATGGATTATATTGTGGAATTTCAGACTATTAAGGAAACCCACAAGGCTATGGAATCATAAAAGAAAAGACCTGTGGGAGGAGAATTAAAAATTCTGCCTCCAAGCAGATGTTATTGCCAGGAGTATTTGAAATGCTTTGGAAGTAATTTCAATTTTAAAACACTTGCAAAATTAAGGGGCATACATCCAAGTTGCCAATAAGAGAGCTATTAATGAACAACTAACAATGAGGTGGTTCTTTATAAGATATCTTCTCGAAAAAGACCACTAACACGTTTAGAAACCTTAGGGGAATGCTTGCCAACAGTGACAGAAATGGAATGTAGCTACATTACTGAAACAAAAAAACAAAAACACACGTGTAACATATACAGTTCGTAGCAACTATTGTCTACCTTGAAAGCTGTGAGAAAATGGTTGTGATTTTTAAAATGAATTAAGATATAAATATCCCAGAATAGCACACCTGCTTAACTAAAGGTACTGTGTGTGTGTGTGTACAAATGTATGTGTAGCTTTGATCTAAAACCTATCTAATCAAAATTTGTTCTATATCATGGAACACTACATCAAAAACTAATGATGTAATGTATGGTGATTAACATAACAATAAAAAATTATTAAGAAATCCAAAAAAAAAATTTGTTCTATAGACTAGTAACATTGACATTGCCAGGCAGCCTGTTAGAAATGCTGAATTTCAGGCCCTATCTCTGAATTAGAATGCATTTTATTAAGATTCTCTGATGATTCATATGCTTTTTTAAGGTTTGAGAAATACTATCTAAATCACTTTTTTTCAGAGACACAGAGACATAACCATATGACCATTAAATAAACTATTGTAAAAATCCATTGATCTAGTAACATGGGGAGAAGAAAAGACAATATAGGTGTATATGTATTTTTGATATAGGGGATACAAGTCAACTTGTGCTTCATAAGGAAGAAAGGTCATGGGGAAAGTACCTATATATAACAACTCCCAAAGAAATTACTTAGTAGTGGCCAGAGTCTTTTTAAGACTGTTATTTAATTCATATTAAATAGATTATTGAAACAATGGAATGCAGTATACATGAAAGTGCTTTGTAAATTGTGACATGTTATATAAACAGAAACTATAATTGTATTCTCTTACCTCCAGGACAGAAGCTCCAATCATCCTTTGCTCCTCACCCTGTTTCACATATCCACTAGCTCTGTAAAATGTGTGGATTTATTTTATTTTTATTTAAGCATTGTTGACACACAATGTTACATTAGTTTCAGGTGTACAACTTAGTGATTTGACAAATTTATACATTTTGCTATGTTCACTACAAGTGTAGCTACTATCTGTCCCATTACAGCATCACTCTTACAATATCACTTCCTATATTCTTTATGCTGTAACTTTTATTCCCATGATTTATTCATTCCATAACTGGAAGCCTGTATCTCCTGCTCCCTTTCCCCATTTTACCCAAACCCCCACCCCATCTCCCCTGGCAACCATCAGTTGTGTATTTTATCTCTGAAATGTCTCACCAAACTACCCCTGTTTTAATAGCATTATTATGTCTTCTTTTTTTATTTCTCTATTTTTCAGCTTTATTTATTTATTTAATCATTCACTTAGTTTTTATTTTAATTCCAGTTAGTTAATATACAATATTATAGTAGTTTCAGGGGTACAATATAGTGATTCAACAATTCCATACATCACCTGGTGCTCATTCTGACAAGTGCACTCCTTAATTCCCATCACCTATTTCAGCATCTCCCCCACTTCCCCTCTGGTAACCATCAATTTGTTCTCTACAGACTCTAAGAGTCTGTTTCTTGGTTTCTCTCTCTTTCTCTAAATCATTATTATGACTTCTTAAAGATAATCCCATTATCTTTTTCTAGAATTACTCTAGTGTCTCTCCTCTCATTCATTAGTCACATTGCTTTTTGATACCTTCTTGAAAAGCAAACAGAATCATTTCACTCACCTATATGTAATACTCTTGGCGTCCATTGTCCATAGGATCAAGTTTAAGTGCCTGGACCTTAAAGGGGTCTTGAGATTATAAATCAATTATATGTTATTATTAAAAAAGCTCAGTAAACTATAAGATAACATTGCATAAATTGTGTATTAACTTCTCTTTAATATTTCCTTTCTTAATTACAAGTCTCAATAGCATTCTAGAGTCATCAACATTTGCAGATGTCTAATGAGCTTTGCAAAATTTTCACCAGATTAACCATTAATAATTACTAATCAATTTATGACATTTCAGATAAAGGGCTGATATCCAAGATCTATAAAGAACTTACCAAACTCAACACCCAAAATTCAAATAATCCAGTCAAGAATGGGCAGAAGACATGAACAGATACGTCTCCAAAGAAGACATGCAAATGGCTAACAGACACATGAAAAAATGTTCAACATCACTAGCCATCAGGGAAATACAAATCAAAACCACAATGAGATACCACCTTAC